TAATACCATAGAGTAGGTGGCTTATAAACAACAGAAATTTATTTCTCATAGTTAGGGAGGCTGCAAAGTCCACGATTAAGGCACCAGCAGATTCATTGTCTGGTGATGGCCCTGTTCCTGGTTAGGAGATAGCCTTCTTTTCAATGTGTCCTCACATAACAGAAGGGACAAGGGAGCTCTCTGGAATTTCTTTTATGACTGCATCAATCACATTCATAAGGGCTCCACTCTCATGGCCTAATTACTTCCTAAAGGTCCCACTTCTAACACCATCATGTTGGGTATTATGTTTCAACATATAAATTGGGCAGGGAGACACAAACATTCCATTTATTGCACCCTGTAGTAGAAAGTCTTTGGGTTTTAGCTTCTGGCTTTTCATAGCCCTGATCATTGATGACCAGAGAAGCCCTTAAGCCTTAAGAGAATAAGGAGGTATTTGTGGGGAGATCTCACTATGGACTAGTATTCAGTTTAGTTCTTGTAGATGACCAAATGTTTTTTAGTTTGATAGATACTAAACTCTAAGGTTAAAATATTAGTGATAAGAACCAAATGTAAAATTTCTAAAGTATCACAAATTTCAACTGTTACTATCATTAAGAATAGTGATAGTAGTGGAGCCTCAAGGTTCCAGTTCTCACCCTGGCGAGGTAGCTTAGTTGGTTAGAGTATTGTCCCAATATGCCAAGGTTGCGGGTTTGTTTGCTGATCAGGGCACACACAAGAATCAACCAATGAATGCATAAAGGAGTGGAACAACAAATCAATGTTTCTCTTTCTCTCAAATCAATAGATAAAAATTATTTGCGGGGGGAGATTCCATCTCTCATAATACATTACAATTTCATGAAATCACCTCTAAAGACTCCTTTGGCTCCAAATTCTGAAAATATGATTCTAACATTAAATGTGGGAATGTCATTACGTTGCTCAGTATCCCGTTGAACAGGAGCATTCTGTATTCCAGAATTTACCAGAGCTCTTCAGTAACTGAACTTTAAAAAATTGCTCTGTTTAAGTAGGGGAATCTCCTCACATTTCAAGATTTCTTTGAATTTTTCAAAATAAGAAACTTCAATTTGATTTGTATTTGTCTACATTGTATTGATTTCAAAAGATGTGCATTTTGTTTGAAGGAAGCTGTTAATCAGTCATTACCATGCAGTGTGTAGGCCTTTTGAGCACATGTTGACTTAAGGAAATATCTTATGGATTAAAAATACCAAGATGTAAAGAAAATTAGACTCAGTCATGCATCTCCAATTTCTATAATTATATTACCCTAAACAGAATATACCCAAATAGTAATCTTACTGTGGAAGCTACACTGTCTTATATTCTGATGGGATATTTATAGTTAAGGGAAACTTAATGTTTAAGAGTAAAGTTCAGTTTATTCCCGAAGAAAGGAATTTTGTAGCTATTGGATTATGAGTGAGATTTCATGAAGGTATAGCCCCCAAACCCTAGAGAGTGTTTGTAGTAGGAATTAACATTTCCAAACAAGTAGATGCAGTGCCCTTGTCCCTCAAGGTCTTTCAGCTCTCAAGCCAACACAGCTGCTATGATTCCCAAATACTTATCCTCTGTGATGAGTATGCAAGGTTCTCTTCTGAATGAAGTAATATAACCCTCTAGTAGAACCAGGCTGGTGTATGTCTTTTTGTATTTTTATTGGTATCTTTTTGTATCAAACCCTTTTGGCGTATAGAGCACACTCCATCCAACTGAGCTACCTGCCTGGGACCTTGTCCATTATTTGAATCTATCAACATGATAAAGTCTTTTTTTTTTTAATAGTTTTTTTTTCTCCTTTATTGATTTTAGAGAGAAAGTGAGAAGAAGAGAGAGATAGAAACATCGATGAGAGAAAACATTGATTGGCTGCCTCTTGCATGCTCCTCACTGGGGATTTGGCCCACAACCTGGGCATGTGTCCTGACTGGGAATTGAATCAGCAACCTCTTGGTGCATGGGTCGATGCTCAACCACTGAGCCATACTAGCCAGACTCAACATGATAAAGTCTTAATAAGCAATTAAATAAATGTGTCCATTGAAAAAAAAGAGAGGGTTTATTATTGTTGTCCTTTAGTCTGCCATCCCATATGAAATCTGTAGTTGCTATAATAGTATTTACCTTTGTCATTATCAAGAAATCCTACTCTGCTTTCAAAGTTGGGTTACAGTTGGGTCTATTCATATTCCAAAATCTTATTTTAGTATTTTCTATTAGGATATGGCCTGTCCTTCTTGTCTGATATGGAGCTGAGGTGTTTAGAGAATGATCATAAGTAGATGTTAGTCCTTGTACATCTTTTGGTCAGCTTTTACAAATCCTGATGCCTAGGTTGCACTTTATACCAACTAAATTAGAATGGATGGGGTAGGAGCTGTGGCATCAGTATTTGTTTTAAAGATTGCCAATGTACGGTGAGGTTTAGAAGCTATTGGCTTTACTTGTTAGCCATATAGGTTAGGGGTATCTATTTACTCCTCAAGATTCATTAGATGATCTTATAATGATATATTTTACTTACTTGAAAAAAAGATAGGATATATATGATATTATAATCATTATAATTATTACCACTATTATTTAGACTGTAAAGAAGTCATTTTGTGGTAAAATATACATAATATAAATTTTACCATTTTAACCATTGTTTGGTGTACATACATTTCAGTGGCATTAAGTACATTCACATTGTTGTACTACCATTACCATCTCCAGACCTCTTTTTATCTGAAAAGATAAAACTCCGGATCTGAAACTCCGGATCTATTGCACAGAAACTCCCTTCCCTGCAGCCCCTGGCAAGCACCATTCTACTTTCTGTCTCTATAAATTTGACTACTCCTGATACCTCATATAAAGTGGAATCATACAGTATTTGTCCTTCTGTGACTGACTTATTTCAATTAGCGTAATGTCTTCAAGGTTCATTCATGTTGTAGCATGTGTCGGAATTTCCTTCCTTTTTTTTTTTTTTAACTGATTTTTAGAGAGAGGAAGGGAGAGAGAGATAGAAACGTCAATGAGAGAGAACATTGATTGGCTGCCTCCTGCATGCCCCCAACTGGGGATTAGATCCACAACCTGGGCATGTGCCCTGACTGGAAATTGAACCGGCGACCTCTTGGTGCATGGATAGAGGCTCAACCACTGAGCCATACCAGCTGGGCAAATTTTGCTTCCTTTTTAAGGCTGAATAATATTCCATTGCATATATGTGCTACATGCAATGGCATATTATTGTTTTGCCCATTCACTAGCCGTTGGACACTTGAATTGCTTGCACCTTTTGTCTATTGTGAATCATGCTGCTATGATCATGGATGTGCAAGGAGCCAATTTTAAGTGATAAACTGGTGGTCTGTTCTCCCTCTGTAAGATGCTCATCTGGATAAATTGCTTGTTCTTTATGGATAGATTGTACTGTAGTTCACTAGATGAGTGAGTACCTGCCCCTAGTGACTTGGTTTATCTTTTACAAAGTATGGCAAACATTAGGTACTATTTCAGATGCTTTCTAGATTTTCTCAAAGGTGGTAGTAGAATTATTTCATTAAATCAGCTCTCTCACCCAGGCTGTGGTTCAATCCCACAGAGGCTGTATTCTACAAACATAGTGACAAAAGTCTCTGAATAGATGAAATAAAGGATTCATTTTGTGTAGTTTAGTTGAACTCTAACGTGCCATGAGGGCAAAATTGTAAGCTGCAAAACCAATCTAAAAAGGCTCCCTAGTTATGTTATGTCTTTAGAAGTTATGAACTAATTAGATTGAATCTGGAAGTCTCATTAATATCCTTTTATTTCTGTCTGTGTTATTCAGATTAAGCCATTTAGTCTACTTGTATACATAGTCTTAGCTTTTTGTCTTACAGAACCTTGTACCTGAGCTGAAAGCTTACTTTTTTACTTCTTTCCATTCTTAATGAACTGCTCTTTGCCTCTTGACCTCTGTGAAGGGTATGCTTTCTTTTTTTTTTTTTATCCTCACCCGAGGACATTTTTCCATTTTTTGAGAGAGAGAGGGAAACATCGATGTGAAAGGGACACATCGAGTGGCTGCCACCCGCACCACCAACCAGGGCCGGGACAAACTGCAACCGAGGCACATGCCCTTAGCGGGAACCAAACCCGGGTCTCTCCGGACCGCAGGTGGACGCTCTAACCGCTGAGCCAAACTGGCCAGGGCTATGCTTTCTTTTTTACAGACAGTTCAGATAGATGTGTTTTTTTCTAAATAAGCGATCAGCTATGTTAGTCAATAAGTAAAAAATGTATGCTGGAATGCAACTTTGGGAAAGTAGTGATTACTTATTTTAGCATTATATTTCTGAAAGCATTACTTTTTCATACTCCCACAACCCACCCAACTATTCTTATAGCATCAAAGAAATGAATTCGTGTTTTTCACCTGATCCCTTTGACACTTTTTCTTAATTTTTCACTTACAGTTAAAGGCATTTTATTTATTTATTTATTTATTTTTTTTTATCCTCACCTGAGGACATTTTTCTATTTTTTGTTCAGGTAGAGTGGGAGGGGGAGAGAGGAAGAGAGAGAGAAACATCGATGTGAAAGGGACACATCGAGTGGCCGCCACCCGCACGACCAACCAGGGCCGGGGACAAACTGCAACCGAGGTACGTGCCCTTAGCGGGAACCGAACCCGGGTCTCTCGGGACCGCAGGCCGACGCTCTAACCGCTGAGCCAAACCGGCCAGGGCTAAAGGCATTTTAAATGAAAAAAGGCTTGGCCACATCACTGAAGGGATAGAAACTTTAAACTTTGTTGGCCTTGTAGGGTTAAGAAATGGACTGCATTTGTGTGCTTTAGAGGTACAGAAATGCCCTAAAATTGAGAATCTGATGAGATAATGATTTTAGAAATATAAGCAACTTGTTTTTCTTGTCTGAAGACTTGTCTGTCAAACTCTACAGTCTGAGAAGCTAAGAGTAAGTAAACAAACCTTCTTTCTTTGTAGATCTTCATCTGCTGGTGGACGTGGCCTGCAAGCAAGAGCACTTTCCAAAGGAGGAAGAATTAAATGAGTGAGGCATGGATGACACGTGACATTGTGCACTAGCTGTAGCTGGAAGCAGACTAGCCTTGCACATGACACACTGTTGGGATTTTTTTCAGTTCTGTTAAGGAAAAATATGTTTTTGTTTTGTTAATTGAGAATTTTGTTAATTGAAAATTGGGAATTTGGTATTTACAACAGCTGTTCAGATTATTTACCTTGACAAACTACTAAACATCTAGCAGCCATTTTTATTTTTTGTTTTGCTGCTCAGATCCCTTTCGAATGAAAAGTCCTGGCCTTCTGTTACAGTCAAGAAGCATCTAAAAACTGCTGCATCTGTGATACTGGAGGATAATCTGTGTGTGTGTGCTGGTTTGTCATCTTGCCACTCTCAAATTATGGTCAGCACAACTCCAGTGGGGACTTCAGTCTATCTGTTTCAAATCACAGTGATTCTTTTAGAGAAGTTTGTGTGAGAAACAAAGGCATGTAAGGTCACCAAGACCACAGGTCTAAATGGTTTAGGAATTCCAGGGAAGAAACTCTGGGAAAGAGCTAATTTTCTAAGTGATTAACCAGGAAATGCTCTTAACTTCCTAACCCAGCATTCTGTTTCAAGAGCAAGGCATCCGGACTTGGACCATCCATCACACTTAACAGCTCCTCATTATTTTATATTAATGGGGGCATTCTTCTATTTTTCATGCTTTCTATAATTTTAATGATATGTTATTATAAATGATAAGGTTTTGTTAATATATCACTTATTTAAGTGTCTTATAAAGAAAAGTATTCAGCTGGTTTAATATATTTATAAATGCTGGTAGATTTTAAAAGTTTTAAAGCTTTATATTTTTATTAATATTGCAGGATAGAAGAATAAAGGATGCATTTGTAATATTTTTACTTTGAGGGGGAAATGTGCAATGTGTGTACAAAAACATTAAGAGATTTAACACAGTGCTTTCTTATTTTAGATTTTTACATTCAGTAAGTATGAATTCTCATCTATATAAGATATTGTGTGCAAATTTTGGGAGAAACTGATTAATAGTCATTTAACAGAAGCTTTACCTCTGATATTTTTAATAGTTTATGTCTGGTTTAAGCATCTGAGAGAATTTTAGTAGTGGGATAAACTGTAACATTTTTATCTTGTCCCCTCTGTAGAATTCTAAATTCGAGTAGTAGGATTGTGGGACTGGGTTTTAGGAGAGGTATCTTGGTTGTCCACTTTCTGTGGTTGATCCCTCACTTGCTCATCCAAGGACAGCAAGAAACTTCTGATTTAAAGTCTTTGAAATTGACTAGAACTTTCTTATTGGATTCTGCTTTGGTTTTCCTAATAAGCACTGCAGAAACAAAAGGAAAGCCTAGGAATATAAAAGCAATGAAAAAGAAAAGGCTCTTAGTGATATGATAAGAGTACTGTGTTAGCATTGTGGATATAACAATTAATTAAACTGCATTGTGCCTTCCCAATGATGTCAAATCCTAGAAGTGTTACAGAGATAGTTTTTTTGGAAAAGGATGAGCTCTGTATTGGTGACTCAGTTTGAAATGAAAATAGGTTCTGAAACGTGACCTGTTTGGTCCATCTGATTCTACTAGTTGATGTCCATGTGATGGGCATTTATTCATCTTTATTAGCAAGGTTTAAAAGATGAACAGATTATCAAGACTCGTACATCTTTTGGCCAGATTCTGTCTTTTGGCAGAGTATGAAGAGGAAACCCAATTTCCAAATGAAGGAACTTTGCTTTTTCTCTGTCATGTTGAAAAGCTGGTATACCGTGGTGATATTTCTTCCCTTAAATGTGCCTTTCTTAGCTTTGTATATGTTGAAAGAGATAATATCTTTTGAGGAACATGTGTCAAGTAAGAACCTTGGCATGAATTTGGTTTCAGTGGTTTCAAGGCTTAATGAAATGCCTTTATCAGCTTTCCAAACTTTTTTATATATGAATACAACAGGCCAAGGAACTAGATCTCCTGCTGTACTCAACATACCTGCTGCTTATCAGCTAACACTATCATCACTGACCAGGGTAAAATGGAAAAAGATAAAATAAAATATTTGTGTGAATTAGCCAATTGGGTCTGACACAAACTAACAAGGTTTCTGACTAGCACCTCAGTATTTCAGCACCTTGAGCATGATAAATTTTAATCAGTCAACAATAAAGTGAGCGTTTCAACTTGACTTCTTGTCTTGCTTGTTTTTACTGTTTAATTGGTGATTATTAGAAACCTCAGTCATTATGACTAGTAACCATAATAGTAAAGTTCAAAAGAGAATGTACTTCTGTTTTTCAAAGAATCTGACTTTTTCAGAAAATGTGTACTGGCTTTTTTATTTTTTCATTTGCACTTGAATAGAGATTGAAAAAAAAATTTTTTTTTTTTTTTTGTGTGTGTAATCCTCAACCAAGGATATTTTTTTCATTGGTTTTTAGAGAGAGTGGAAGAGAGGGAGGGAGGGAGAGAGAAACATCTGTGTGATGGAGACACAGATTGGTCACCTCCCACACAACCACAACCAGGTCCAGGGCTCAAACCTGCAACCTAGGTATGTGCCCTTGACCTGGAATGGAACCCGCAACCCTTCAGTCTGCAGGCTGATACTCTAACGGCTGAGCCAAACTAGTCAGGGCTAGAGATTGCATTTTTTAAATGCTATAAGGTTAAAGATAATTCTTGGACATATTTTTAGAAACCTAGTTTTTTGGAAGAGGATGAATGGTCTTCAGTAACTTTAGTCCATCCAGATGTGAAAGTAGATCCTGAGAGATGACCTGTCTCCTGTGTAAGAGTAGGTGGTAGATGTCAGGGAGATGGGCATTTTATCACCACAGTGATGGCATCTTTATGACATCTCTTAGGAAGTTGTGGTGTGTCAACCCCTAAAGGATAGTTCCAAAACTTTAAAGCCGGAGAAGTATTTCTCTTGCTTGTCAATTCTGGTAACCTAAACAAACACAGTATATCAGTGGACTAAATTACATAGAGCTGTTTGGTTTGATCCCGAGTATCTCAGGGTACCCAGGTTCATGATATATATTATTATTCCTAAATATTGGAGTTTCCTTAAGAGAGGGCAACCACATTTATATTTTTTTCCTTCTTTCAACTAAATGTGTATTAACTCTTAGGTTTAGTTATCTTAATTCCTTTGTAAGATTCAAGCAGGAATAAGTGAGGCAAAGTCCATTAGTTGCTTACTTTTTGTTTAGTTTAAATATCTTTTTGCATATGTCATATAATAATGTATAATTTGCATCATTTATGCTGTACTATTGCATGGCAAACGTAAAATAAAAATATTAAACCATAATATATTTTTTAAAATTCTCTTCAGAAGAATTAGATCTCTTTCTGTTCTTTAGAAAGGAGCTATAAAAGGTCTCTACTTGCATTATGTTCTTAATGTCCAACCAATAAAGAAAAAGTGCTAAGGTAAGAATTTGCATTAGAATTTATTTCTCTGCTCTAGGTTAGTTATTAGGCCTAAAATGTCAAAACTATCCCTATAAACCTTCTTAGGGAAAAATGTTCAAGGTGAATAGAATGACGACTCATAAGTTTTTTCTTTCAGAGGCAGTGTCATTTAATCTTTTTTTTTTTTCCTCATCCGAGGACATTTTTCCATTTTTTTGTACAGATAGAGTGGGAGGGAGAGAGAGGAAGAGAGAGAGAGAGAGAAACATCGACGTGAAAGGGACACATCGAGTGGTTGCCACCCGCACGACCAATCAGGGCCGGGGACAAACTGCAACCGAGGTACGTGCCCTTAGCGGGAACCGAACCCGGGTCTCTCTAGACTGCAGGCCGACGCTCTAACCGCTGAGCCAAACCGGCCAGGGCTCATTTAATCTTTATAACCTACAATGCAATTGTATCACCCACATTTTATAAATGATCAATTTGTATAATTTGTAAAATTTAAAAAACTTTTAAGACTGATATTATGTGCTGCTTATACAATTTAAAGAAGCACATAATATAAACCCTAACCATTTCTGTTTATTTTATTTTATCTCCCCCCCAATCTTAATCATTTCTAAGTGTACAGTTCAGTAGTGTTAACCGTATTCATGTCATTGTACATTTGTACAAATTGGAAAGATTATTGGCAGTGGGTCAAAAAATGTCTAGTCACAGTTAAATCTGGCATATTTGAAAATTCAAATATTAGAAACATTATTTCTTTTTTTAAAATTTTATTTTTAATCCTTACCTGAGGATATTTTTCCATTCTTTGTTCAGATAGTGTGGTAGGGAGGGCGGGAGGGAGAGGGGGAGAGAGAGAGGAACATCGACATGAGAGAGACACATCTACTGGCTGCCTCCCGCACGACCCCAATCGGGGCCGGGAACGAACTGCAACCGAGGTACGTGCCCTTGACCGTAATCGAATTCACGACTCATTGGTCCATGGGCCGACGCTCTAACTGAGCAAACCAGCCAGGGCTAGAAACACATTATTTCTAATGACAAGTTACTAGAAGGGTTATATAGTTTATGAATTTGGTCATCAACCGAAAATTAGTTTTCTTTTTGCCTACATTCTTCTCATTAGGCATATATATTTTATTTATGAAGTAGACTTACTTGCAGTCTTTCATTGAGGACATAGGTCTGGTCCATAATATTATTTCACCTCCCAGAGATGTGAGGAGAAAAAAACAGATTCCAGAACTCTGACATCAACCTGAACTAAAAGCTCCATAGAGGTACAGTTTAGAAAAGAGCTATTACATTTAAATTAGTAAGAGCTGAAGAAAAACTATGCATAAAATAGGCAGAGTTCTTGCGAGGGCAATAGACACAAGAGCAATAAATCAGTAAGCACTACAGCACAGGATCACTCTATTCTGGCTTTGTGCCATTTGTAGACACTAAATCCCAGAAAGAGCAGAACTCTCTTTGAACTTATATTTTCAAAACCCCGTGTCTATTCTTTTTATCTTCTGGTTTTCCTTTATTTTTTTCTTCCCTCATTATTTCCTCACACCATGTTCTCTTAGGTGCAGAATCTGCTTAGATGTCTGTTTGAGTGGCCCTGATTTACATGTGGTAGCTGGCTTACCCAGAGGAAGGAATTGAGGATTGAATTGGATGCAGTTTGGCTGTGGCTCAACAGAGGGAGTAGAGGAGCTGAGAGAAAGAGCAAAAGAACGTGTCTGGTTAAGTGTGCGCGCCCAAGCCCGGGCCCTAGCCATAGGGAGGAGGAGGAGGGGCAGGGTAGGGGGTGGTTGCCTCTAGCTGCTCCACCCTCACTTTGTGTCAGCAGGTAGAGAGCGTGATTGCAGTCTCAGGGGAGGGAGGCCTAGCTAGAACACCAATTACAAACCACAGACTTCCTCCTCTAGGGAGTTGATCCAGAATTGTCTTTCTGGAAGGGAAGCATTCGAATCCTTCTGAACTTTCCAAGTCCATCCATGATTCAGAGATATTACCTTCTCCCTCTGGGATTTTCTGTGTTCCTGGTAGTGAATTGTTGCTTTGCTTCTTTTCTCTCTCAAGATTTGATCATTTTATATGCTGTTCGGGGAGAAAAAGAACTTTTGTTAGAAAGGAAATTTCAGAAATGACTTTGGATCCTCTATAAGTGTTTTTAGAGTTCTTGGGGACAGTAGCTCTAACCCTGGAGTAAATTTCTGCCTTTGACCTGCATGGATTATTTTTTCAGGCTGCGGAATTTCTCGGCACCTACCTGCAGTGTGGGGCACTTGGTTTGGTTGCAGAGTAAGAAGGTGGAAGAATGAGCTGTACTTGGTTAAACAGTTGAAATCTTTTTTGAGCAGGAACTATAAAGGCATAATTGAATTTGTTTCACCCCGTGGATTCCAGTGGGCCCGACAGCGCAACAGGTTTGCAGATTTCTTTTGAAATTCTTTTTTTCTCCCTCTGCCTCAGCAAAAGAAAGAATCTGTATAACAGGTTCATGTTCAATTGCTTGGCTTTTCAGCACTTATTCTGAAGACTTATAAGATTTTTAAAATTTGACCTCTGAACACAGTGGGCTTTGTGGTTGAAGTGCATTTATATTTACTTAAGGGTGCACATTTTAAAATCTTAAAATAAGATTTTATTTGTACAAAGACCCAAATTCTGAAGTGTGCCTAGAAATAGCACAGATCTACCCTACTCAGGCTTTTTACTTTTTCAGGGCATTCTACTTAGAGCCTGTAGACTAATCACCTCCCTATTCCCCCTATCTTTTATACCCCACCCCCTCAAGGAATTTGAAAATGTGTTAGGAATAGTCCTTTGTTTTACTTATAAACCTAGAAAATTACAGATTATAAAATCGGGATAGTAAAGTAGTTTCCAAAGTCATCTCATGGGAAGTCAAAGTGCTTGGCATTCTCAAGCAGGAGAATACAAGCTGGAATCCCTAAAAGAGAAAGAAAAATAAAGATAGAAATATGGTTTTTAACTGGGGAAAATAATTGGGAAGTTGACCTTTTCAAATATTCTTCTAATCTGAAAGTTGGAAACAGTTGTGATGCTCAGGATTATCCTGTAATATGTGAAGACATAAATTACCACCTACTTTACAGGCAAATTTAGGCAGAACATTAAAAAATTGTAGTGTATTTTAAGTTCATGAAAATGAAAAGTATTATAAATTCAGTGGGCCTGGAACTTAGGCCACATTGAAATACAGTTTAATGTGTAAACTTTTATGAATACATGTTGTAGCATCTTTGGACATTTCTCAAGATGTGACATGAAATGTTGTTCCCTCCCCTTCCCCGTGTAAAAGAAAAATTCTTATGTGATCTTTAGCCTTTTACCATTGACAAATTATGTGGCTTAAAAAGGACCGTGTCTTCATTTTCTGAGCTGGATTTTTTTCACTTTCACCTTCAGTACATGGCCTTAGTTGTTTACTTTACCTTGTTTTGTTCATTAACATTGGGTTTAGTGGCTCGACAACTTGATGCATATGGAAGAACAGCAGCACCAAGTGATCTGACATAATAAAAATTCAGGATGTGACATTCAACCTCAAGCAAAGTTGGAAATTCCAAAGAGAAGTGGTAATATCTTGCTAATAATAGTGAAGATGGGAGAAAATGACATACCTGCAGCAGAAGTGGGCTGAAAACACCCTCTTCCCTGCCAGATCAGGAATGCCACCTGTTTTTGGGAATATACTTTAGAAAAAAGAAGGGCCAAAACTATGACTTGGGTTTCTGAAACTGAAGCATAAATTCTCTCTTCCTTCATTTGTCTGGATCTGAGAACCTGCGTCTGGTATTAGCTAGTGGAAGCAGTATGTATGGCCGAAGTGCATTGCTGCAGCTGGTAGCATGAGTGGTGGCCACCAGCTGCAGCTGGCTGCCCTCTGGCCCTGGCTGCTGATGGCTACCCTGCAGGCAGGCTTTGGACGCACAGGACTGGTACTGGCAGCAGCGGTGGAGTCTGAAAGATCAGCAGTGCAGAAAGCTATTATCAGAGTGATCCCCTTGAAAATGGACCCTACAGGAAAACTGAATCTCACTTTGGAAGGTGTGTTTGCTGGTGTTGCTGAAATAACTCCAGCAGAAGGGAAATTAATGCAGGTAAGGATACCTTTATTATATTTCACTTTCCATCTGTTTGAAATGTGCCTTTCTTCTTTTGTCTTCCAAACCAAATACAATTCAACGGCTTCTGTTGCTTAGCTCTTTATTTGTTCCATCTCTAAGCAATGTTGTCTCATTGGTGTTCCAAAGCAAATTCTTATTTTATACTTGAAAAGAAACATATAAACCCTACATTTTAGATGATCATCACCTTATTTTTTGGCTCTGATATTACTGTACCTTTTAAGATACACACAGAAACACCTTTCTTTGCAAGTGATATGTTCTGGACACAATTTTTTGATAGATGAAATATATTGGCTTGTTTTTAATTGAGAACTGTATACTCTGTTTAAATTTGAAGTGAGTACTAAGGAGGTTGATTTTAGTGGTCAGCAGCACCCTGAAATTCTAGAATGCCCTTAGAGCATATTTGGTCACTGTCTCACTTTTAAAATTCAGTCAAGCTTGAATGCCACGGCTGGCTTTCTACCACATGTGGCACCCTATTGCTAAGCCCAAAATGGAGAGGACTGGATTACAAAATGGACACAAGGTGTCAACTTGCTTCCTGGTCACTTTGGTCTTATCTACACATAATTTTATTATTTTCAAAATTTAAAAACTTAACATGTTTTTTATTGACCTGCAAAGTTTTTTAGACACTGTTTCTCAGGCTTTCAGGCTGTGGATTTTGCTTATAACTCATTCATAGGCTATTCATTATGTGTTGAATTTATGAACTGACTGGAGCCATAGCATTTCACAGGGGAATTGCTCATTCCCCATGGTGAACATAGAGCCCAGAGGGCTGTACCTTTTTAATGTGGCCTCCCAGTGTCTTATTCCATAAAATTATGTTGCTTATTGATTACATTTTATTTTATGAAAGGATACTTCTTGTTGTAGCTCTTGGACACTGGTTAAAATGTTGTTAAATATGATTTATCTCAGCATCCAAGCTCAGATTTTAATTTTGTGGTATGAATAGAACCAAAGTATTATATGAATTTAAATTCGGGTCTATTTTTGAGAGAGAAGGTGAGAAAATTTAACACATTATAGAACTCTCTATTCCAGACATGGATTTTTACATATATTATTTAGTGGTTCTTCATGATTACTCTTTAGGTAGTATTTTGAAGCTAGGATAAGTGAAGTGGAAAAAGAATAAATGGCAGGCCCTGTTATTTAGAAAAATAAACAGGGAAAGAGAATGTGTCTGGAAAAAATGGCGTAAGAACTTTTAGATAAGAGTCTAATAGTTTAATTTGAACTCTAGGATGGAATTAGGAACATTTTAAGCTTAAAACATATATCATTTTGAATACAACAATTGGAAAGGAAACTGCCTTTCTGACTTTGCCTAGTTAATACCCTGAATCATGAGGTATGTGCTCAATTTTAATTTTATACCCTAAGCTATTTTACTATAGAACCATATTTTGATCTCTGAAGTCTTTGGGAGCCGTACAAAGCTTTGTGCCTTAGTAATGTTCTGTGGCAGCAGCATGTTCAGTGGGTTAATTATATACTGCATAAAAGAATGTCCTTTTTATTTCAGTTTTTTTGTCTTTTGTCATAAAGCTCTACATAAAGTTCCTGTGTATTCACAAAGGAAACGGTACATAAGAGGCACCTCTTTGCCATTCATTATTTTGTCAGTCTTTATTATATCTTCTCTTACTCTGCTCTTTTTCTCACTCTGTTAAAATTTGCTAATTTTTTAAACTCTTAATGTTGAGCCTATCAGTATACTTTTAAGTATTGTTTCATTTGTGAAACAGGGAATTTCATTGTACCTATTATTTAGCAAGTCTCTTTAGACTTTACAGTAGATAGTGTGTGTCACTGGCAATTTTAAGTCTTTCTTTATCTTTTCTGTCCACTGAAGCTTCTTCTAGGTCATTACTACATTTGTAAACTAGCCCAGTATTAATCTCTGGAGACTTTAAGTATTGTTCCTGGTTTATTGTCTATTAATGGATTTTTTATCCGTAATAGTTACTAAATTTTCTTAATAGTCTCTTATGAGAGAATTATTTTTAAAAAACAAAAAGACCCTTTTGAATGATAAGCATCAGTTGTTCTTTATCCACTATTTAATTAATTCTTTCAGAGAACTGTAGTGTGTTGGGGACACATGGTCTTACACCTCTAGAATCCATGCTGTTCATTCCTTATCAGATTACACTGCAACTCAGGTTTACTCAACTGTGGTTAACCAAGCCTTCCATTGAGCTGGGTTCTGTTTGTATCTCCTAGCGTTGTGCTTTGATGCACTTGAGCTTTCTTGGTGGATGGCTTTATCATGGTGTCACAAATCTGAAGGGATCTTCTCTGTTGGCTATGAGGAATTTTGGATAATTTCATGTATCCTTCTACCTATGAATGAATTATTCTAGTTACCTGTTAAGTTTGATTGTCTCCGAAGACGCAGTCAGGTCTTTGTAAAACTGGGGATTGGGAAATGTGAAGGTATGAAAACAGTTATTAAAAAAAATTTACCTTGTGGTTTCTGGAATTTCCAGAGTTTCAGAAAATCTAACATTTTGCTCAATGAATTCAGGGTATGTACAGTTTCATAAGGAACACATTTACTAGATTTTCACTTGTATTACAATTTTAATTTTTCTTAGACAAAGAGAGACATCCCTTGACTGTGAGTCCCCAATTTGTTTAATAATGATAAGGTCCATAGAATTGTCTCTGAAATAATTTTTGCTTTTCTCACTTCATCTGAAGCTGCATATACAAGGGCACTGAAATCCAGGCCTTGGTGAATTTTTGTCCTGATTATTATAACTCAGTCTTTGTGCTTAGGTTTCTTTTAACTAACAGTCATATCCATTTGACAAGCTATGTTTAAAGTTTTAAATTGTAATATTCTTTTTGGAATACTAGGAAAAAGTCAAAATTGAAGAAGAAACGTTGCCTTTGCTATAGTCTTCCATTTCATAACTCCTCATCTTAGCTCTAACCAGATTATTATATTGTTTTTCTTTCTTTTTTGCCCAAGAGCTGCTGCTTTGCATTACCATATCATTTCACATTCCCTGTGCATGGTTGCCATTGTCTTTAAAGTGTCTACTTTTTAGATTGGCCCTGCATTTGCCACAATCTTTGTCTCTTCCTTTCTTCTGATTTCCTTCTACTTTTTTGTCTCTGTTTCCACTTTATTTTTAGATTTAGGATAACTTTCCACTGCTATTCTGATCAGTATTTTTCTAACTAGCTATAAAAAAAAATCTACATCAAAAAATATTTGTAACTCTGTGTAGTTAACTAAACTTACTGTGGTATTTCACAATGCATACCTATATCAAATCATGATGTACACCTAAAATGAGTACAATGTTATATGTCAATTATATCTCAAAAGAGAGCGAGAGAGAGTGGGAGACCAAAATAAATAAATAAATAAATAAATTTTAAGGAGACTTTTCAGATTTCCTAAGTACTGGCAGTGACTAATAAAGAAGACTAAATAATAGTGATTATAGCTTTTTACAGTTTTTATTTTTCATTTGAATATATTCTTTTTTTCCTGGTTTATACCATCGTAGATGGGAAATGTGCTAGAGCTTATGCATTGTCTAATTGTCCAGTTTTCTAGTTTGTTTACCTCTTTTCAATGTTTGTTTATATTATTTCTAGTAATATGGTTGTTACCACTTCTAAAAAAATGATTGCAGTCCTATTTTCTTTCTCAATTTTTGTTTCTTATTCATAAATGTTATTGATTAATAAGAAACAAAATTAATCTTTAACTGGGGTATACACCTGAAACTAATATAATAATGTATGTCAACTATAATTGAAAAATTAAAAAGTGATTTTAAAATAAAAAGCAAAAGTGCTAGTGGATCTTACTATAGTGTAGAGAGGTCACCAATTCAGCTATCACACTCTTCCTGCTCTGCTGGTTGTCTTGGATTTTCTTAGACTTCAGGGTTAGAATGTTCTGCCCTGAGGCTTCAGCCCTACAATGGGAGCTGTGATAGTTTAGTATTTGGGCAGCAGCAGTGAGCACCTCTTGGACAAATTCCCCCTTACACGATGTCTCTACTTGTCCCTTAATTTACCTATTAGTCAACACCTAGTTATCCTAACTTTGCATTTTTACTTTATTTGAAGTCAGATCCTAAAATTAATTATTTGGGGAGGGAGAAAAACTTGATCATAAAGTTTTGGATAAAGCCAAAGAGATAAATGCTATACAGCAAAACTGTAGTTGACAAAGTGACTAAACTGTGACTTAAGGGACTGACTTTAAGTTCTGATTCTGCTACTATGTAGTTGGGTGATTTGAGACAAAATAGTTTTCACCTTTCTAGGCTTTAGATTCTGTATCTGTAAAATTGGGAGATTGCAATATAATAATACATAACAAAGTTGTGCTGTGAACTTTATATGTATTAGCACATTTATTCTTTGTCTTTTTGGTTAATCCTCACCAGAGGATATTTTTCCACTGATTTTTCTTTTAGAGAGAGTAGAAGGGAGGGAGGGAGGGAGATAGAGCGAAACATCCATGTGAGAGAGACACCTTGATTGGTTGTCTCCTGCATGACCCCAACCTCCAGGGATCAAACCTGCAACCCAGGTACGTGTTCCTGACTGGAATCAAACCCGAGACCCTTCGGTCTGCACTCTAACCACTTAGCCAAACCAGCCAGGGCAGCTCATTTATTCTTCATAATAACTTAATGAAAGAAGTACAGTATTTTGTTTTTCACATTTTACAGATAAGGAAACCGAGGCTTGAACTATTAGTATCTGCCAAGGTCATGACCGTAGCTTGTAGGTGGCATAGTTGGAACTTGAACCCTAGAGCCTATGTTTTTTGAGCTCTAAAATTCTGTACCTCTATGAATGCCATAGATGAACAGAGCACCAGGGTAGGCTTTGTATAAATGATTAATTTTTTTCTATAATAGAAAGGAATGAAAATGATGAGCATTATTCTCTGAGACTGACCTAGAAAACATAATATC